ATAAGGCAGAGTTATGGTAAGGTATGTGTTCAGTGAATGTCAATTCTGCTTCAGATTCAGTGGTTAAAGTAAATCGGACCAATGCAAAAGGAGTAAGTTGCATTCAATAACTTTATTTTATTTTTATTTATTTTTGAAAGATATATTTATTTATGCATAGAAGAACTGGGATGTAGGCTAGAGGTGAGGGGGTTAAGAGGATTGACCAGACACAGAATGGGGAGCAGAACAGGCAAACTGAATGAAATACACTGCTGAGGGGAGCAGTGGTTGAGACAGGAGAGGTCTGCTGCGCCATGTGGGTTAGTTCCCTGGCTGGGGATTGAACTCAGGTCTAGAGGTGATAGCACTGAGATTTAACGCCTACACCACCTGGGGGGGGGCTGCATTTGATAACTTTAAAGACAACCATTACATTAGGCATCATGGCTGTGTGATTAAAATGACAACTGACATCTTTATGTGGTTTTCCAGTTATGCTTTTTAAAAAATTCCTTCTCTTGGGGCCTCCCCGGTGGCGCAGCGGTTGAGTGCTGGGTTGCAAAGCTGTCCGCAGCCTCTGCGGCGCCGGTTCGATCCCTGGCTGCTTCCCGGCCACAGGAGGATGGCCCCACATGGCACGCAGACCTCTCCTGCCGCCCGCTGCTACCCTCAGCAGTGTACTTCGGTCCTTCTGCCTGCTCTGTTCCCCGTTCTGGCTCAGGTGAATTCTCTCACCCTCCCGCGTTTCTGACTGTACCCAGTGCATGTATAAAAACAAAAACAAAAACAAAAATTCCTTCTCATAATAATTTTTACAAAGTGAGAAACAGACATAGGTAGTTATACGACTTGGCTAGGATCATGCAGCTATTAAATGATTAAACCTAACTTAAACCTAATTGATTTCTATTGAAATTCAATAATTAACTCATTCAACATTGACTGCTTGCCAAATGGAGACAGACATTAATTAATATGACAATAAAAATAGACTGTAGGATTGCAAACCTGAGAATTATTTGTTTCTATTAATTTAGGCTTTTTCGTGTATGAAATTTCACTTGCCATCCAATTCACCTGTTCATAGTGTTTAATATTCCATAAATCCAATCCATACTTAATATGACTACATTGCCTTTCTTTTCAATTAACAGTGAAATAAATAACAAAAATGCATACAACTAAATGACAAAATTCCTGCTTTTATCAGAAAATGTGTATTTCAGACAGACATAGCTTAGAAACCCCTCTAGACTCTGGTGAGAAGACAGAAACATTTATGGTGAAAAGTAGGGTAACCTATAAGGCTGTGATTGGCCAAGAAAATCAAAGGAAGATTCAGAATTTCAGCCATGGGAGGGACAAAGTAGTTAAGTCAAAGAGGGGGCATCTCCTTCATAGGGATGGGCTAGAGACTGATACAAGGTTTTTTTTTATGCATACCAGAGCTGGGGTACAGGCCAGAGGTGTGGGGGATGAGAGGATTCACCAGAAACATAGTGGGGAGCAGGACAGGCAGACTGAAATATACTGCTGAGGGGAGCAGCGGGCAAGGCAGGAAAGGTGTGTTGTGCCATGTGGCTTAGCTCCCTGGCCAGGGATCAAACTTGTTCTGCTGTGGCTGAGGACTGCTTCATAGGTTGCATCTTAACCCCTTGCACCACCAGGGAGGCCTTGATGCAAGAAGTCTTTTTTTAAATAGCATTTAGTTTAAGGTTTTTAATTGCCTGTTGATTTTGATTTTTTACTTTATTATAATTAGTCTTTTTCCTGATCCTTTATTTAGGTTTTCTAGGTTCCTGCTATGAGTGAAACTATCTGGTATTTTTTTCTTTCTGGCTTATTTCACTGAGCAAGATCCCCTCTAGCTCCACCCATGTTGCTATAAATGGCATGAGTTTATCTTTTTTGATTGCTGAATAATATTCCATTGTGTATATGTACTACATACAGCTGAAAAGCATGAACCTATATACCCCAAATCAGTTACAATGTTGTAAATTATTATCTTAATAAAATAATTTAAAAAAAAGCATTTAGTTTAAGAGAGAAGCTACTATAATGACTGACATTTTTTGGAAATAATTTATGCTGTTCACCATTAAGTGCCACTACCGTGGGAACTGAATCATACCATGCACCCAGTTTCCAAAAAACTATTCATGGCTTGAAACGCATTTTAATTTTTGACTATTACTTTTCCATGTCAACCTAAGACTGTAGGAACAAGCTTCCCAAATCCAGTAAGGACAATAAATTCCAGAGCTACATGTTGGTGTCTGCTATCAAAGGCATGGAAAGTACATGTCAGCGTGTATTCTTCATACCATCAGCCCCAAAGAGTACAAGAAACTCCCTAAACTTTCCTTCAGTACCTAATCACAAACACTAGATTTCACCATCTTGAATATATGTCTACTCTTTATACTTTAAGGTATAACATTCTTTAATTCATCACCTTTAATATTTGACTTTTTGTTACTTTTATAATTGTTTAAAAATCAAAAGTTATCTTCATTCTACTCAGGTGCAGCACTTGGATCTAAATATTTATTGTCTCTATCATTTATATTCATCAAAACATCAGCAGCATATTTTTTATATCTTTATAAGAAAAGTCTGAGTTTATCTGATCTTCTCACAATTGTCCCAAGCCATTGCTAGTATTTTGTTTCACTTATGGTTCTATGTTCAATAATATTTTAATGATTGGTAGAGGAATCATCAGCATATTTCTTTGTAATAAACTCCTCCTTTTACAAATCATCCATTCAATACAATATTTAATACCTACCCTATGTCATCTATTTATTAACCATATAATTCAGCAACATGTTGATTTTTCCTTTTTCAAAGGAAATTTATTTTGTCTTGCTGCAATGAGAATCAAGAAAGATTAAAAGCCTATGCACACAAGCAAACAGTTACCAGAAAAGCTTTTTATGATACATGATTCTAACATGCCAGAAGAAAATTGCATTGAAAATGATGTAGTCTATCACCCAAAGCAGTGATAGTGAAGGCAAAGATAAACAGCTGGGACTACATCAAATTAAAGAGCTTCTGCACAGCAAAAGAGACAATAACAAAAACAAAGAGAAACCCCACCAACTGGGAGAACATTTTTGCACACAACACTAATGATAAAGGACTGATCACAAAAATCTGCAAAAAGCTGATGAGACTCAACAAAAACTAAGAAAATAATCCAGTCAAAAAATGGGCAAAAGAGCTAAAAAGAAACTTCTCTGAAGAGGAAATGCAAATGGCCAACAGGCATATGAAAAAATGTTCAGCGTCACTTGTCATCAGGGAAATGCAAATCAAAGCTACCATGCGATACCATCTTACACCAGTGAGAATGGCACATATTAAAAAAACTAGCAACAACAAATGTTGGTGAGGGTGTGGAGAAAAAGGAACTCTCTTGCACTGTTGGTGGGAGTGCAAACTGGTCCAACCACTATGGAGAGCTGTGTGGAGATTTCTGGACCTACTAAACATAGAGCTTCCATAGGATCCAGCAATTCCCCTCCTAGGTATTTACCCAAAGGACACAGAAAAATCAATTCCAAAGGGCACCTGCACCCCTGTGTTTATAGCAGCACTGTTTACAATAGCTAAGCTTTGGAAACAACCCAAATGCCCAAAAACAGATGACTGGATCAAGAAGATGTGAGACATATACACCATGGAATATTACTCAGCTTTCAAAAAAGATAAACACATGCAATTTGCAGAAACATGGATGGCGCTGGAAGGGATCATGCTCAGCGAAATAAGCCAGAAAGAAAAAGAAAATACCGGATAGTCTCCCTCATAGCAGGAATCTAGAAAACTTAAATAAGGGACCAGGAAAATGAATAACTATAAGAAAGTGAAAATCAAAATCAACAAACAACTATGAACCAGAGACACTCTATGGGGGGAGGGGGGCGGGGAGGGGAGGGACTGGGGTCAAAATAAGGGTATTGCAATAGTATGGGGAATATAAAAATAAAATTTATTTAAAAAAGAGAAAATGATGTAGTCTAAATAATAAGAAATACATTTGAAATTGAAAATTAAATATACTTTTGCATATTCTGATATGCTACTTCTCTTGCCTCATTTGCATGCAAATAATGGTTGAACAGCTATTTTAATTGCTATATTCTCCCAAAAGCAAGGAAAGAAATTTCAAAATATATGTATTATTTTGTATGGGGAAGAATGTTAATATTCACCAAATTACCTAATTTACATAGTGATTAGACTCATCTGCAATAAAGTAATTTTATAAATATACAGAGGAAACATTAGACATTGTGAAATTTGACAAGTGAAATATCAAGCAAATCTAATTAAAATTGTATGCAGCTGAAAGACTTCTAGTACATTATTTTTAATATAACTTTATTACTAATGTCAGAATAATAAGTCAAATCCTTAAGCATTCTGTGCATCATATTTGGTAGGTGAGTGGGGGGAAAGCAAACATAATGTTGCTGAAAATATTGAACATGATCAAACACATCTGAAAGAGATCAATTCCTTAGGGAAGAATTTCTACCTACATAATTTCAAGTGGAGTAATCTGTTTTCTAATTAGCAAGGAAAAAAATCCCCTGTATCTGACCTTGAATTCTAAAATATTAGCTCTGAGGGAATATTTACAATCCAAAAGCTCAGATGCATAATGAAAATATGGACATGACTTTTACTGTTGTTAAGGTTCTTTTAAAATCATTCTTAGCCATAATCAGCCTCGGTTGACTGACATTTATAGTATGGAAATTGGCTGGAATACAAATCCAATGGCGTTTGAAATTAGAAAACACATTACTGAGGAGGCAGGTTAAATATTTGTGGTGTTCAAAGTCATTTTTCTTGGGAGAAACAATACCTTTGTTCATTTTGATCAAGATTATATACTAAATGAGTTTTACATGTTGAAATTATTTTAGTTCTCTAGTGCTGCGTCCTTTGTCATTTTATATGCAGTTATTATTTATTTCAGAGAAATGTACTTTCCAGCTTTCAATGTTTTAAGTATGATAAAGGAGGGCAGACTTTAGGATTTAAACATGAAGAATTTGTCAGGTAGATATGTTTGTTACCTGAACACCAAGTGCTTGTATCCATAATTGATTGTACTGATTATAAACAATCTGTTCACATATTTGTTTGTGGGTTTACAGTGATGTAGACACAACAATTAAAACATGAACAGGAGACTGAACAATGAAGATAAAGAATGCAGAGGCCTAATGAAAAATTCCAGTTCACAACATTTTCTCCCCGAATCCAGGACAAGACAGGTTCCTGAGCTTCTGGGAGAACAGTAAGATACTGTCTAGACTTGGGAACTGCAATTATAAGGAAGAGGACACGGGGGCCTCCCTGGTGGTACAAGCAGTTAAGACGTAACCTATGAAAATATCGGCAGCCACTGTACCTCACACACCCATGACCTGTACCCCAGTTCTTATATGCATAAATGAATAAATCTTAAAAAAAAAGAGGTCACTGCAATGAAATCTATCGGGATTTTAGAGTCAGCCAGACCTGCGATGAAATCTTGATCCTCATTCATATTCTCTGATTGTAGGAACTTCTGACTCTTCAGAAGTTTAGGCTTATGTGAAATGAGAATGAAGATAGTATCTGCCAGGATGATGGTGAGGATTAAATAAGATTGTTAATGATCATAAAGTCTGCATGTGACCCAATTAAAAAATAATGGCAAATATGAATGTTGTAGAAGGTTCAGACTCCTGGGGTGTTTATCCCTTTAGCAACTCACTTTCCCAATCCTTTGAGATAACAATGGTTTGGTATCTGTGACTGTTTCTATGGTATGTTTAAGAAAGCTGACAGTTAACATTCACAAGGACACAGATCAATGTATATATTCTGAAGTAGTAAATCAATGCAATAAAACTCTATGTGATTATAAATGACTGGACATCCTGCCAAATGTATATTTATCTCTTTATTTCTACTTATTCATTGTCCAGGAGCTGAGGATAACTCCTCAAATAAAGTAGAATTACACCAGACATACAGTAGTGGCTGAAATTTATATTATAAATGGAAATTTCTTAAAAGTGGACAATGTAAGAAAATTCTGAATTTCAGTCTTCTAGGACACTGAAGAAGTCTCTCTGATGGGAAAGAGACCGGAAAATTGACACTCAAGAGTAATCCTGTATGAAGTCACACAGAGCATGGGAAATGTGGAGATACGTCCAAATACTGAATAATTCTGCAAGGCTTTTGTAATCTTGATATCAAAACCAAAAATAAAGTATATTGCACAGGACCAACAAAAAGTCCATTGTCAGGCTAAATCCTGCATAAGTGGACTTTTTCCAAAGAATGCAAGGGGTTTTGGCACTGGAAAATCTAGAAATCTAACACTCTCTTAAAAGATTAAAGGAGAAAACACACAGATTCAGGAAAGAATCTGACATTAACACCCACCTGTAATTAGATTTTGTCCCACACTAACATTAAAAAGAAATTTTCCTAACTGAATAACCAGCATCTGTAGAAAATCTCAGTCAAGAAGGAACCATTCAACATAAAGTGTCAGGACAATTGTTTATTCTAGAAAAATACATTTTGATAACGCTGCTTATTTTTTATGATGGATTTGTCATGAAACTCAGAGCAAATGTCATAAATTGTCTATGGAACCTGCCCAAACCTGCTTTAATTAAGAATGTCAGGATTTTTGGAGATGAAAAAATTCCAGTTCACAACATTTTCTCCCCGAATCCAGGACAAGACAGGTTCTCCCCAGTGTGAACTCTCTGATGCTCACTGAGGTAAGACTTACAGGAAAAAGCTTTCCCACACCCTTCACATTCATAGGGTTTCTCTCCAGTGTGAGTCCTCTCATGCAGAACAAGAAATGACTTACAGGAGAACACTTTCCTACATGCTTGACATTCATAGGGTTTCTCTCCAGTGTGATTTCTCTGATGGTCACTTAGGGATGACTTACTTTGAAAACTTTTCCCACACTCTTAACACTCATAGGGTTTCTCTCCAGTGTGAATTTTCTGATGTCTAATGAGGTGTGGCTTACTAGAAAAAGCTTTCCCACACGCTTCACAATCATAGGGTTTCTCTCCAGTGTGACTTCTCTGATGTATAATGAGGCTTGACTTACGGGAAAAAGCTTTCCCACACCTTTCACAATCATAAGGCTTCTCTCCAGTGTGAATTCTCTGATGTGTAATGAAGTGTGTCTTACTATAAAAAACTTTCCCACACCCTTCACAGTCAAAGCATTTCTCACCAGAATGACTTCTCTGATGTTGACTGAGGGATGATTTCCATTGGAAAGTCTTACTACACTCTTGACATTCATAAGGCTTCTCTCCAGAGTGACTTCTCTGATGGTATCTGAGGGATTTCTTACTGGAAAAAGCTTTCCCACACCCTTCACATTCATAGGGTTTCTCTCCAGTGTGACTTCTCTGATGGTGACTGAGGGATGACTTACTGGAAAAAGCTTTCCCACACTCTTCACAATCATAGGGTTTGTCTCCAGTGTGACTTCTCTGATGGTACCTGAAGGATGATCTCCAGGGGAAAGTCTTCCTACACTCTTGACATTCATAAGGCTTCTCTCCAGTGTGACTTCTCTGATGGATAACGAGGGATGATTTCCAGTGGAAAGTCTTTCTACACTCTTGACATTCATAAGGCTTCTCTCCAGTGTGAATTCTCTGATGCCCACTGAGGTAAGACTTACTGGAAAAAGCTTTCCCACACCCTTCACATTCATAGGATTTCTCTCCAGTGTGAGTCCTCTCATGTAAAACAAGAACTAACTTACAGGAGAACACTTTCCTACATGCTTGACATTCATAGGGTTTCTCTCCAGTGTGACTTCTCTGATGGCGACCGAGGGATGACACACTGGAAAAAGTTTTTCCACACCCTTCACAATCATAGGGTTTCTCTCCAGTGTGACTTCTCTGATGGTGACTGAGGGATGATCTCCAGGGGAAAGTCTTCCTACACTCTTGACACTCATAGCGTTTCTCTCCAGTGTGACTTCTCTGATGGTCACTGAGGGATGATCTCCAGGAGAAAATCTTCCTACACTCTTGACATTCATAAGGCTTTTCTCTAGTGTGAATTCTCTGATGCTCACTGAGGTAAGACTTACTGGAAAAAGCTTTCCCACACTCTTCACATTCATAGGGTTTCTCTCCAGTGTGACTTCTCTGATGGTAACTGAGGGATGATTTCCAGGGGAAAATCTTCCTACACTCTTGACATTCATAAGGCTTCTCTCCAGTGTGAATTCTCTGATGCTCCCTGAGGTAAGACTTACTGGAAAAAGCTTTCCCACACCCTTCACATTCATAGGGTTTCTCTCCAGTGTGAGTCCTCTCATGTAGAACAAGAACTGATTTACAGGAGAACACTTTCCTACACGCCTGACATTCATAGGGTTTCTCCCTTGTATGAGTTCTCTGATGGACACTAAAAGCAGATTTCCACCTGAAAGTTTTCTTACATACCAGACACGGGTAGCGCTTCACTCCTGTTTGAGATTGTGGATGTAAGGTGAGGGCAGTCTTCCATGAGAAAGTTTTCACATAATCGTTAGAGACAAACAACTTCACTGCAGTGAGATTTCTCTGGTGTCCCCTCTGTAAGGAAATCTCAGAGGTGTCCCCACACTCATCAGGTTGATCGTCTGCTTGTGATTTCTGATGTTCAGTCAGAACAGAGGTTTTAGAGGCCGCTTCACCATATCTCTTATATCCAAAATTATTCTGTCCTAACTGGGTACTCTCACAGGGATAGGTGTGAAACGTGTTGCTGAGACTGGCCCCACTTTCATAACATTCCTGCTGCTCATGTTCAACATACCTAGGAGGATTCAAATGCACTGGAGTCATCTCTGCAGGTCTTCCCTTCTCATTAGAACTACAGGGAGTCTGTCCCCCTGGGGTTCTATCTTGGACAACTAAAGGTGCCTCATCACGGGTGTCCCTGCACTCATTGTATTTACGGGCAGTCCCTTCCGGAAGGGCCCGTCTAGGTGTAAATATTGTTTCTTCACTCAAGACTTTTCCTTGTTCACAAAACTCAAAAGGCTGTTGAAAGTTCTGGTGCTCAGGATACTTGATGGGTTCCCTCATTCTACTAAAGACCTCCTCGTTCTCTCCAGCATGCTCTTCATGAGGCTCACCAGGGATCATCATGGTCCTATGTATAGAAAAGTTCTCAGGCATCATTGCTGAATTGTTTCCATTTTTGATACTCTGGGTCAAACAACAAATTGAGTCCAAATTGCTTTTTTCCCATAACTCACTTCTCACGTTGGATGGTATTTTGCAGCTGGTGGTAAGAACTTGCCACAAATGTCCGCCCTGTTTTGCAGGGCTGTCCTGAGTCAGGTGATCCACAGTATGGACATCTAAAAGGAGATAAAAATGACCATGTTTCTAAAAAGGAAGCATTTTGAGTGAATACTATTAAGCGGCACAAAAGCTTCTATATTACAACACAATTTACAGATATTGATTTTCTGATTCATGCTTTTTGCCCACAGCAAATTATGGTTAGAATAGATTTTTTGGTCTTTTTTATTTTGGCATACAGGCTTTTCCCACGTTACAGGCTTCACCACCACTGGGTGGTGAAGGACAGAGGTGCAGGAGTGGGGGTGCTGTGGGGGAGCGTGGAGACAGTGTGTGGAACAGAACAGGTGGACTGACTGAAATAAACTGCTGAGGGGAGCAGCGGGTGAGACAGGATAGGTCTGCTGTGACCAAGACGGTGAGCTCCCTGACTGTGGATCAAACTCAGGCCATAGCAGTGAGAGCTCACAGACTTAATCCCTAGGCTGCCAGGGAGGCCCCAATTAATAGGTTTTCTAATGCCAAACTGGGATAAGAAAGCAGTAAAGCTAATTTTATAATGTTTTTATAAAATCATAAATATATGGTAAAAACAGTCTTTTAACTAGAGTTGTCGATTTCAACCAGTAGCATTTCACCCAGCATAGAGCCTACACACTTTCTTTTTTTTTTTTTTAAAGATTTTTTTATTTATACAAGCACTGGGTACAATCAAAAGCGCGGGAGGGTGAGAGAATTCACCAGAGCGGGGAGATCAGGCAGAAGGACCAAAGTGCACTGCTGAGGGGAGCAGCGGGCGGTAGTAGAGGTCTGTGCGCCATGCGGGACCCTCCTCCAGTGGCAGGGGTGCAGCCGGGGATCAAACCGGGCCACACGGGCTATGGGCAGCTTCGCAACCCAGCGCTCAACCACTGCACCATGGGGGAGGCCCTACCTACACACGTTCTTTCTTAGACTGACCCTGTGCAGCTCTTGCTGCAGAGGCCATGGCTTTCCCGGAAACCTGTGGACTGAGAGTGACCCAGTCATTGCCCAGGCACTTTAAGCAAGAGGCCTAGCTGAGACACAAGGACTCTGCTTCTCCATTTCCTTAGTTTTTCTTTCCCCTCGGCACTGGCCACAGTCACCTGCAGAGGTTCTCAGAGGCATGCGCTTCCCTCCACGGCAGAGACCTGTCAGTTCTTATTTAAATATCATATCACATAAGGCTCAGAATCCTAATACATGCAGCAAACTCCGCCTTATCATTGTGTCCCACGTTACCCTCTGAGCGATAGGAAAAAAGTTCTGCATCCAGCCTGTGCTATCAGCGTTACAGGCTTTTCCCACATCCTTCTGAGAGCAACACCCTGGTGTTCTCATCGCACTCTCTGGCACCTGTGTTTCTGCTTTATTCATAGCAGGTCCAGTTTTGATGTCATGTGTGATTCTCAGCTACATCACACTGTCATCGATTCCTTTACTCTCCTCACAACGATTCCCACGAGAAGGTGGAACTGCACAGGTTGCACTGCTCCCCAAGGTATGAGCCCCCAACCTGGAATTCTTGGTTCCATGGCTTTAGAAACCACCACTTCAGGTTCCCCCTCCCATGTCACAGAACATCCCATACCACGCTGAACAATTTCTGGGTCCTCCTCAGCCTCACAATGACTATGTGGGTGGTCACAAGGCTTGCCTCTGAAACACTGCTCATGTTCTAAATAACTCTCCAGTCAACGCTGCTCTATCCCTTTTGAGTTAGTCACCTGCTCAGTGACATCTCTAATAGCAATACACAGCCTCTAGCCCAGACTGCAGAGGGAACTAAAGATATGACATGTCAGTGCAAGCCATTCACCTCACCTAAGCTCTGAAAGAAAAGAATTAATCTCTATAATGATGCGTATGGAGCACACACACAAAAACAACATCCTCCACAGCTTTACCTCTCTATTAAAAAATGTATTTATTATATATTCTTTTCTCAGAGTGTATAACTTCAGAAAGCAAAGATCATTTCTGTGAGTACTGCTGCTCTCCCCTCTCATAGAAAATTTACCACTGGCTAAACTTCCCACGAACATACAGAAAGAATAAAAAAAATCCTGAACAGGTACCTAAAGAAAACAGTCTGTGAGAATACACTAAGAGAGAGAACAGAGAAATGTGATTACTGCAGAATAATCCCCACAGCATCAGGGACTGTATACTGGTTTAAGAACATAGACAACCATCATTAAAAGAGCAGGACGAAACTCACAAGAGAGCAATATTTGGGAAATGAATAAAGAATCAGTTTGATATATGCAGACACACTGTCCAAGGTTGGACACTGGAAAAGCACCTCAGTGTGGCCAATAGCACTGGCCTCTCTCCCAGGCTCCTCTCAGCCTCCCGGCCTGGCAAGCACTGACTGACCTGAGAGGTCCCGGCTTGGGGGATCGCCCACAGACCACGGCTGTAATTCCTGCCCCGACTTGATGCTCTCCTCAGGATCGGTAACACAATGCCCTGTGATGAGAAACAGCGTTGGTCTTTGATCAAGTTCAACTTCAGTCTTTGAAAACTAACAAAAGCAAAGTGAAGAGCTGTGCAAAAGAGGCCAATCTGAATCTTTCCTTAAAAAAAAAAAACAAAAACCTGAAACACCCACAATGCACACTGCCTGCCATGTTCAACCTCACCAGCACTCAGTTTCATTAGCAAGTGCACACTTATCGGTGCAGAAGACAGCATTGCACTAGGGTGTTACACTAGCGCTTCCTCACCTAGGGACACCAGGTGACTGCAGGTCTCCAGCATCACATCCCGGTACAAGGTCCTCTGAGCTTCACTCAGGCACCGCCACTCCTCCCACGTGAAGTTCACAGCCACATCTTCAAATGACACCGTCCCTTCTAAGGGAACATTTCTCATCTCAGGGCCGGCAGCCTGGGTCAGACAGAGCAAGTGCAAACACACCTTATTTTGTGGGTCTTTGGTCTTGTATAGGATGTACAGAATTCTCAGTTGAAAGAGTCTTGCCTCTATATTCACCCGTTCGGTACTAAAAGCTTACCTTACAAATTTGGAAGTGTCTATGATTCTAAGAATAAAAGGATGAATAAAATTTGCTCCTTGAGGAGCTGATAGCCTGGCTGGCAGGTGTAACAGACACACACCCGGAATCATGTGCTAAAGGAGCTTCATAACAAATGAAAAGCATGTGCAAATTTGTGCCAATATTTTACTCCTGTGACCTCAAAGCCTGGGATCTCCAACTCACAGTAAACAAAAACTGAACCCGAAACCAGAATGTTCAAACAATGAAGGGGGAAAAAGCACAGTTAAGAGATGTTCAACTACAAGCAACTATAAACCAGACACACACTACGGGGGGATGGGGGGTGGAGGGGGTAGGGATTAGGGTCAAAATAAGGGGAGTGGGAATTGTATGGGGACTATAACCAAGATGAAAATGCATACCTTATGTAAAAATGAAAAATAATGTAAAATATTTATAAAATAAAATTTTAAGAAAAGATGTTCAGCTGACAGAGTCAGAGAAGACAGAACAGGTCATCACTTCTGAAATGGAAGGACAAAGGGGAGGAGAACTCGGTAATAACTTGGTGGCTGAGGTACGAGGAATGTTTTCCTAATATGCTGTCCGCATGACGGGCTGGTAGACTCTGGTATTCCACACACAACTGGACGTGTGTAATAGATCAGGAACTCTAAGCTGAGAACAGAAATTTGGGAGTCAGGGCCTCCCTGGTGGCACAAGAGTTTAAGTCTCAGCACTATGAAGCTATCGACAGCCACTGCGGCATGAGTTCAATCCCTGGCCAGGGAGCTACCCACATGGCACAGCAGATCTCTCCTGTCTCTCCACTGCTCCCCTCAGCAGTGTATTTCAGTCAGTCTGCCTGTTCTACTCCTGACTCTAACTCTGGTGAATCCTCTCACCTCCTGCACCTGTGGCCTACACCTGAGCATTTATATGCATAAATAAAATAAATATTAAAGAAAAGAAAGAATTTGGGAATCTCCAGGATATTACTGATAGTTTTCATCACCATAGGGGAGAACACGGTGACCAGAACAAAAGGTATTGAAAGGAGAGGAAAAACAACTAGAATAGACAAATATTTCTTTTGGAGAAAGAAAAAAATAGATCATAGCAATGAAAGAGTTTTGAAAAATAAGATACTTGGTATAAGAAAACAAACATCTTAAGAAATCTGTAAATTTATTCCATCATCTCATTTCCTGTGTAGAAAAAAAATCCTATGTACCTCCACATACATATTGAATAGGAACCCATAAACATAAATTTCTATTTGTATTAGCTAAAAAAGGATTCAGAGGATTTTTCCTCAACACAAAACGAGTCCCTGACACAGCCACACAGGCGACATCAACATTCACAGTGAGAGAAGGACTAACAAAGATGCTCACTGTCCCCTATTCACAATGGGTTCGGGTGACACTACGTAACAACAACGACAACAACAACAACAAAAAGACAACATACATAAAAATGGTCATATCTAGTTATAATTCATTCTTGGAAAACCAATGAAAGCCACAGTAAAGCGACTCTGGAAAGGAAAACCCAGTGAGCAGACTGTGAGTATAAAACACACCCATGTTCACACACACAGGAGCTCCTGTACGCTGCCAGGGAAATGACAAAACAGTAAGCAATGCATGTAGCAGAACCAAGGGCAAAGACTCGCTGGAAGAAAGAAATCCGGAGGGTTAAACAATGAAGTAAACAAATGCAAAGACACAACAGCATCCAGGACACGATGAGCCTGCTGCACTGACAGCAACTCTCGCAAGGTAACCCGGCACATCCCAGTTCTAGGAAAACAAAAATGCATTCTTATTTATAGGCTCATTGATTAGAACACTAATATGAGAAATAAAACCACAGCAGAGAGAAGGTGGATGGCTCATTTCTGTGCACAGAAACTCACGGGACCTCCCAGCAGGAGTGCGTTCAGGATGCCATAAAAGCACCGTATGACGAAATGGGACAATACAATCCCCTCGCGCTTTTGACCCTGTTCAAAATGGAAATGCGCAGCCATGAGGAAAGGACTGGAACACACAGCTCTGCAAATCACACACCAAGTGGGTCCTAACACATGAACGTGCTCAATACGACCAGGCACGAAGGAAAAATGAATGAGAAGTACAAGAGATGAGATTTTACATCCGCTGGGATCGCAATGATTTAAAAAGAAAGAAAAGAACAAGTACTGGCAAAAATTGGGACCTGGCTCCCTTGCGCACTGCTGGGGCAAACATAAATGATGTAGCCAGGAGGGAAGACAGGAAGGTGATTCTTGGGAAAAGGGAACTCAGAATGACAGGAGGACCCATCCCCACCCCAGGGTGTTCCCCAATAGCAGGGACAGCAGAGACGGGGAGAGACGTTTGCTCACCTACGGTCACGGCACCATCAGTCATTACAGCCCAAAGCAAAATCAACCCAAGCCCCAGGTGATGGATTAATGGATAAATAAGACTGGTAGATACACATAAGAGAATATTAATGAGTCTCACAATGGGACTAAACAATGACACACACTACAATATGAAGGGACTCCTGTACGATACCTATGAAATAACAAAACAGTTAACAATGCAATAAAATAAGAGATTCACCAAGAAAAAAAGATGTAATAAGACTCCATCATACAGGTCTGAGTTGTCAAACTCTTGAAAACAGAAAGTAAATGGTGGACACAGGGGCTGAGGGACAGGGCAGTTGGGAGCGAGAGTTTCATGAGAACAGTATTTTATTACTGGGAAATGAAAAAATCTGGAAGGTGGTGACGGCTGAATAACACTGTCAGACACAAAATGCCAAAGACCACCACATGCAATAACAGCAAAAGGAGACTTTTTATTTTAAATTTAAATAAAGGGTCGGGGCCTCCATGGTTGCACAAGGGTTCAGACACAACCTATGGAGCTGTCCGCAGCCACTGTAGCACAAGTTCAATCCCCGGCCGGAGAGCTACCCACATGGCGTGGCAGACCTCTCCTGACTTGCCCACTGCTTCCCTCAGCAGTGTCTTTCAGTCAGTCTGCCTGTTCTGCCCCCAACTCTGACTCTGGTGAATCCTCTCCCCACCACACATCTCTGGCCTGTACCCCAGGTTTTGTATGCATAAATAAGTACACCTTTCAAAAAATGAATGAATGAATGAATGAATGAATAAATAAATAAAGGGCCAGGATTACTAGGAAAAGGAGAAAAAGAAGCAACAGTCATGCTGGGCAGAAGAGCAGCCATTGCTGCTCCCCACAGTGCAAAAGTTTATAAAATGAAACACTTGCATGGTCACAGGTGACAGGAGAGTGCAAAAATTAGGTTGTAAAATATATTCATTCTATCAATATTCTATAAACATTCCACCAAAATTAAAAAAATCTACCATTTAACCATAACTTCAGCAAGAATCATACGTATGACTAATGACACACACCCACTGTACTCCAGACTCGATGACAGAAATGTGAAGCTTTTTTTTTTTTCATTTTTTTTTTCATTTTTTTTTTATTGTTATATTCCCCATACAATTGCAGCCCCCCCATTCTGACCCCAATCCCTCCCCTCCCGCCCCCGCCCCCCTAAAAGTGTCTCTGGTTCATAGTTTTTTGTTGATTTTGATTTTCACTTTCTTATAGTTATTCATTTTCCTGGTCCCTTATTTAAGTTTTCTAGATTCCTGCTGTGAGTGAGACCATCCGGTATTTTTCTTTTTCTTTTTGGCTTATTTCGCTGAGCATGATCTCTTCCAGCGCCATCCATGTTGCTGCAAATTGCATGTGTTTATCTTTTTTGAATGCTGAGTAATATTCCATGGTATATATGTGCCACATCTTCTTGATCTAGTCATCTATTTTTGGGCATTTGGGTTGTTTCCAAAGCTTAGCTATTGTAAACAGTGCTGCTATAAACATAGGGGTGCAGGTGTTCTTTGGAATTGATGTTTCTGTGTCCTTTGGGTAAATACCTAGGAGTGGAATTGCTGGATCATATGGAAGCTCTATGTTTAGTAGGTCCAGAAATCTCCACACAGCTTTCCACAGTGGTTGGACCAGTTTGCACTCCCACCAACAGTGCAGAAGAGTTCCTTTTTCTCCACACCCTCGCCAACATTTGTTGTTGCTAGTTTTTTTAATATGTGCCATTCTCACTGGTGTAAGATGGTATCTCATGGTAGTTTTGATTTGCATTTCCCTGATGACAAGTGATGTTGAACATTTTTTCATATGCCTGTTGGCCATTTGCAAGAAATGTGAAGCTCTTTATTAAAAACTGCATTTAGGATCACTGACATAAACTCCCAACAACCAAAGGTCAAATGATGAACATCTGCGCTACCTGGTTTTACTCAGCGAGTGTCTGTGTCATGACCCTTGTTCAAACGTGTCCCACTGACCCCTGAGTACTTTCTCCCCTGAACTCTGAGGTGTCACCACACACTGGCCAGTCGGAGGCAGAAAAGGGAGCAACCTCATCACTGAGAAAACGCATCCATCAGGTTTGGCCAAGAATGAGAACTGTAATGTGAAAGAAAGTGAACACACACACACACACACACACACACACGGCAGTGCTGTTGTTAGCAACCATTAAGATATCAGGTAATATTGAAGAGTAACGTGCATTGGGTGAGACTAAACTCTGGAATAGAGAAATCCCTTTCTGGTGGCGGGAGACCTGGGCTGAGAAGGATCTAATTCCACACGGGAGGGCACAACACAGGAAGAGGTTTGCATGTTGCATGAGTGGCAGGTGCCATCGGGACGGCTACAGGCGCAGTCAGGTGGGAGCCGAACCTGTGCTATTAGGACTGGGCAGAGGCCCACGCTCAAGTGTAACTGGCAGAAATGGCAAAACACAGTTGACTGACTCACTCAGAAGTGCAGACTGAAGACGGGAGACCAGATCGGAACACAGGGATTAGCTACATTCAGGAGCACAAGATACTCAAGCACTCAGGGACATGGAAAAGAAATCATCAGAGAGACCATGACAGAAGCAAACATAAAGAAATTTCATCTTCCAAAACACTGAAGACGGAGGAAAACTCACCAACACATATGACGAGGTCAACATTGCCCTGATCCCCCCAAAAAAGACAGCATAAAAGGGAAAAAGAGACCAACAGCACCATAGAACAGAGAAGCGAAAATCCTCACCAAATTCTAACTGAGTTAATACAGCAACATGGGGCCTCCCTGGTGAAGCAAGGGGTCAAGACAAAGCTCTATGACGCTTTCCACAGCCCCTGAAGCATGAGTTCGATTCCCAGTCAGGGAACTCACTCCTGTCTCATTGCCTCTCCCCTTAGTAGTGTATTTCACCAGATCTGCCTGTTCTGCTTCCCACTCTGTTTCTGGTGAATCCTCTCACCCACCGCATCTCTAGCCTGTACCCCAGCTGTTATATGGATAAATAAACCAATCTATAAAATTCTAAATGGATTAAATACTGGGTGATGTAGCTGACAGAAAATATAGGGACACACTAAGGACAGTTGCCACAAAATGTACTAGGGAACACAACTCCAACACCAAGGGGAAAAAAAAGTAAAAATTAACAAGCGGGACACCACCAAACCTAAAAGCTTTCATACCTCAAAAGAAAGCAGCCTAAAAACTGAAAGGCAGTCTACAGAACAGAAAAAGAATCTGCATGCCACACATGCGACAAGGGATTCATTCCAAAATTTATAACATCCCCAAACAATCCAATGACTCAATTAAAAAAGGACAAAGGGGGGCCACCCTGGTGACATGAGGGGTTGGGATGTGGCGGCCTGTGAAGCTGTCCACAGCCTCTGCAATGCGAGTTCGATCCCTGGCGGACAGGGAGCACACAGATGACACAGCACATCTCTCCTGACTCGCCCGCTGCTCCCCTCAGCACTGTTTCAGTCAGTCTGCCTGTTCTGCTCCCCGCTCTGTCTCTGGTGAATCCTCTCACCCCTTGCATCCCGGTTCTTGTATGCATAAATGAATAAATGTTATTAAAAAAATGGACAAAGGAACTACATAAACTCTACTCTAGAGAGGGAATTCTGACATCCTACAGACAATAGGAATGTTCACCGAAACTTATTAGAAGAGAAACGTAAACCGAAAGCACACTTAGATGCCACTTCACCCCCTGAGAAACCCAAATAAAAACGAATGGATTTATACAAAAAAAGGGAGAGTGAGAATTGTATGGGGATTATAACCAAGATGAAAATAATTCCTGTCTACAAAAATGAAAATGACGTAAAAATACATAAAATAATATTAAAAAAAGTGAAAGAGGGCCTCCCTGGTGGCGCAGCGGTTGAGCACTGGGTTGCGAAGCTGCCCGCGGCCTCTGCGGCGCCGGTTCGATCCCCGGCTGCTCCCTGGCCACCGGAGGAGGGTCCCACATGGCGCGCAGACCTCTCCTGCCGCCCGCTGCTCCCCTCAGCAGTGTACTGCGTCAGTCTGCCTGTTCAGCTCTCGCCTCTGGCTAGGGGGAATTCTCTCACCCTCCCGCGCTTCTGACTATACCCAGTGCATGTATAAAAAAAAAATAATAATAATAAAAACCAAATAAATAAATAAAAATACATGTCTCAAAAAAAAAAAAAAAGTGAAAGAGATGAAAAAAAAAAACCACATATGGAATGAAGAACGCTGGAGAGGGCGCGGAGAAAGAGGAGCTCTCACCCACGGCTGGTGGCCATGACCGTCAGAACAGACACTGTGGATGAGGGTGCAGAGGTTTCTTAAGGAAATAAAAACGGAAATTCCATGTCATCTGCAATACTTCTACACACTATCCTCACAGGAAAACTCAAACACAAAAAGATTTATCCCACCCATGAGCAGAGCAGCTCTGTTCCCAACTGCCCAGTCATGGCCCAATCTACATCCCTTCAGCAGGGGCGGGAAGGGTGGAGCACACGCAGGGGAGCATTGCAGGGCTGTGAGGAAGGAGCAAAGGGTCACACTGAGGCTAAAATGGGTGGGCAAGAAGGTGACAGTCTGTTTCCTTTTTTTAAAAAGGTTTATTTATTCATACATACTGGAGCTGGGGTACAGGCCATTGGTGCGGGGAGGAAGGTGAGAGGATTCACCAGAGACAGAGCAGGGAACAGAGGAGGCAGATATACCGATATACATTGCTGAGGGGAGTAGCAGACAGTCGGGTCTGCTGTGCCATGTGGGTAGCTCCCTGGCTGGCCGGTGGATGGAACTTGTGCTGCAGAGACTGTAGACAGCCCCATTGGTTGCACCACCAGGGAGGCCCTGGGAGGTGCTATTCTTGAGTGAAATAAGCCAAAAAGTAAAGACACATATGAGATGGCTTCACTCATTTGTGGAAAATAAATACCCAAAATATTTACAGCCAAAATACTTGAATCAAACTTAAACAGGGTCATGTGAAGGTAAAGATGACCACCAGAGAGAACAGGGGAACGGGTGGAGAAGTTAGGGAGGGAGGCAGACGGGGGATGGGCCAGGGTGGTTTGGTAGAGGGTGAAACAAGGGGTAGGGCAAAACCCATTAGGAGTCTAGGAAAAAACTGGCAACTCTTTCAGCAGAAGGTTTTAGTGCTACACATATCAATGACAGATCAAGGAGGGAAGATAAGTAAAAGAAAGAGAAAAAAACATAAGGAGCTTTGAAGCTATTATAAAAAATGGAATTTCCCCAAGGTCATACATAGTGTTCTCAAACATGGCAGGAACTTTGGGGAAGGCAAAGGCTGGAGAGTGTCACTGGACTGGGGAACAACTTAGGGTGCTGGGAAGCGTCACTACAAATGCATGCAGACCACACCAAGGAGAAATGCGCAGGAGCAGTGCAAACAACCGCCAGAAAAAAGGACTCTGAAGAGCCTGCTGTGCACCTGGGGTTTGCAGACCCCCTGAGAGAAGAGCAGGGGCAGGGATGTAAGGACGCCCCACTGGACTCAACGTCACACGTGCCAAGACTGACGCCTGCATGAAAGTCTCTGAGAGTGGCCTGGGACACAGGATAGGATTTCAGCAACTGCACAGAAGCCTTAAAAATTCAGTTGTCCTTTTCAAATGACTCGTGGCTCCTTCACCCCCATCTGCACTCGGGTCCTCAGGCCCATCCTCCTCCTCCTCCCTCACCCCCACCTGACCAGCGCAGAGCTGGGAAGTGTTTCTGTCCAGCGGGGTGAAGAGCCACAGGCCACACCTTCAGCGTCATCAACGGAGACCCAGGTACAGACTCTGCGCTGCGGGAGCACCAGGGCAGAGCCCCATCTCCACGCACGCTGGACATGGGAAGGGCCTGGACCTACGCCACACCTTTCCCTGGTGAGGAATGTGTCCCTGCAGAAAACTCTGTTTCTAATGTGCATGTCCGGGGATGAACTCGCATAAAGTCAACGCACCGCGAGCTGAAGCCAACACGCCACTCACCAGAGATTCGTCCATGGTCGCTGCTCTCACAGACGCGCGAGGGCTCGGGAGCGGCGCTGGGGGGCGCTGGGGTCCAGCACAGAGGACGGAGGCGGCTGCCGGGGTCCGGAGTCTCCTGGCCAGAGCCCGCCACACGCTGCCTGGAGACACCAGAGAGTCACCGCGTGTGGCAGCGGGTGGCACTTCTAGCAGGGCAGGAAGGGCCCCGAGTCCACGCGCGGCAGAGCCTGGGCGGACGGTTCCCCACAACTTAGTAAAAGGTGACACTGCCCACTGCCTGCGCCACGGTCACGCAGGAGCAACCGTCTCAGAGCTGAGGAGTCGCTGCAGAGTGTGGACTCGACTTCCAGCGAGACGACGCCCGAACGCACTGTTCTGCCAGGACACCCCGGCCGTGGCTCCGCGCAATACCCCCCCACCCGCCCCCTCAGAAACGCAGCCTGGCTCTCCCCTCCCTCACCGCCCGACTTCTGGGGAGCCCAGAGGAGTCAGCGCGCATGCGCACATGCGGACCCGCGCATCCCCGGCCCCCGCCTCGGGAAGACCCCGGCAGCGTCCGGGGTCAGGGCCGGGCGGCCGCGCCGGGGACACCCCGGAAAGGCCGGGACGTTCTCCCCAACGGCCTCCGCCCATCCGCGAGCGCCGGCGGGAATCGGCTCCAAAGCGCCCGAGTCCACGCGGCCGGGGCCCCCGCTCGCCCGCGCCCCCAACCCCCCCAACGCCTCCGCTCGCCCGAGCCCGGCCTCCCCGGACAAACCCGCACTCACCTCGGGGCGCCCCGGCGCTCGCGGAGGCGCCGGAACTTCCGGACGGGCGGGGGCGGGGCCGCGCCTGCGCAGATCGCGGAAGGCCCGCCCACAACCCTCCGCGGGAACCACGGGGCTGGAGACTACATTTCCCACAACCCCTTGCGCAGCCCGTCTGGCCGTCGTTGGGGTGGAGTTTCGGCCTGCAAGTGGGAGGAGTGGAGGTTGAGGAGAACGGGCGGGTGGGCGAGGCCCATGAATACTGCGGGGCCCATAACGGGTTCAGGGCTCTGAGGGAAGAGAGCTCAACAGGGCCGCCCTGGGCCTGAAGGGGTTAAGCACCGCGCTGACTCAGAAGCTATCCGCCCCTCCACAGCAGGGAGCTACCCACAGGGCAAGGCTGACCTCTCCTGTCCTGCCTGCTGCTCCCCTCAGCAGTGTATTTCTGTCTGTCTGCCTGTTCTGCGCCCCTCTCTCTCTCTTGTGAATCCGCCCCATCTCTCTCTCTCTCACACACACATACATACCCCTTTGGCCTGCACCCCAGCTCTTGTATGAATTAATTTAAAAAATATACATAAGTTCACATATAGTCTAAATAAGACATTCAGATTCCAAGACACATTTCATCAAAATCAAGATTCAGGTATTTAAGAAGCATCTTGACCTTCTGATATCAGGATCACAGAGTCGGTGTTCAACATAAAGATGCTTTGCTTAGCTAATGTGAATGCACAAGAATTCCACGCTGTTATGAAAAGCTCACCTGCTCCTTCATCACATGCTTGTGAAGATTTCTTTTGGCAACAACGTCCAATAATATTCATTGTCTCCATTACTACCATGAAGAAACATGAGGATATTAATAAACTGTTAGTATATTCCCTAAAGGAGAAAATGATGAAATAAGTTGAACTTCAGCATTTTTCTGTGTCTAATTTTTATGCCCACAACGAAGTCCACGACTCCTCTGGGTGATTTAGATCAATCTTTTCAGTCAGCCACAAATAGCATATCCATTTAGATTTTCTTCATCCATGATACATGACACCATCATAAATGTACCCAAGCAATTAAGATGTAAAGAAACTCATCAACTGGAGAGGGTCCCTTAGATGTTTGATGCATGAAAGTCAAATACATGACTCCACGTACATACCAGGAGAAAGCCATAGCATGAAGTGATTTAGGGCTGAATTATATTCATCAGGTCTCTTCACAATATCTCAAGTATGGTTGATAAAAAAAGGACAAAGAAAATAACTATATAGGACCCCAAACCATCGTCTTGAACTCTTATTTTTTTTTTAAAGATTGATTTTATTCATTTAGGCATACAAGAACAGAGGGGTAAGCCACAAGTGTAGGGGGTGAGAGGATTCCCCAAAGACAGAGTGCAGAGCAGAACAAGCAGATTGACTGAAACATGCTGCTGAGGGGAGCAGCAGGTAAGTGAGGAGAGGTCTGCTGTTTCATGTGTCAGCTCCCTGGCCAGGGACCAAATCATGCTGCAGCGGCTGCTGACAGCTCCATAGTGCTGTGACTTAACCCTCTGCACCAACAATAAGGCCCTCAGACTTTTCAATTATCCTAATATTTGGTGTTTTAATGTTGGCTTATGCTCCATAACAATTTTCTGACTTAAGGAATGTAAAGTGTTTCTCACTTCCTACTGTATTGCAATATCTTAATATGAATCTAAATTGCATTATAAATTACTTAATCATATTTTCACTTCTTTCGAGTTTCCAGTAAGAAAATGTGGTGGTTTCAAAATTCATATTTGGACAAACCACTCATCACTTTCCATTTACAGTTTCCCTTGGTTTACACTCTCTGATGTTTACGATGATCTGACTTCTGGTTAATCACTTTGACACTCTGGTTAAACTTCTGGACTTCTGGTTAAAGACACCAAAGTTGGGTCCTCACTGGTGGCACAAGGGGATAAGACACAACCTATGTAGCTATACGCATCCACTGCAGTACGAGTTGGATTCCCAGTCAGGGAGCTACCCACATGGTGCAGAAGACCCCTCCTGTCTCGCCTGCTGCTCCCCTCAGCAGTGTATTTCAGTCAATCCGCCTGTTCTGTTCCCCACTCTGTCTCTGATGAATCCTCTCACACACCCCCACCTCTGGCAGATACCCCAGTTCTTGCATGCATAATAAAATAAATCTTGAAAAAAAGAGAATAAAGTAATAAAATTGACTTCACAATTTTAACATTTCTCTCTGATGTGAATTCTCTAATGTAGAGTAACACTTGACTTGCGGTGAAAGGCTTTGCCACGTTCTTCACATTTGTAAAGTTTCTCCCCAGTATGAATTCTGTGATGCTGATTAAAAGTGATGGATGGTAGAAGGCTTTGCCTACATTCTTCACATCTCGAAGGTTTCTCCCCTGTATGAATTCTATGATGCCGAGTAAGACATGACTTATTGTTAAAGGCTTTGCCACAATCTTCACAATTGTAAGGTTTATCTTCAGTATGAATTCTGTGATGCTGACTAAGATAGTTAAAGGCTGACAGTTGGTTAAAGGCTTTCCCACATTCCTCACATCTGTAATGTTTCTCCCCAGTATGAACTCTCCGATGTCAGGAAAAGTGACACAGCACAGGAAGGTGTTACCACAGTCAGGACGCGTGTAGGCTTTTCTCCAGCATGAATCCTTAGATGGCTTGTCAGCTGTGGATGGCAATACAAGGCTTTACCATGCTCTTCACACTTGTGAGGTTTCTCTCTGTGATGTTCAGTAAGTCTTGGGAACCACTTGGTAGTTTTGCCATACACTTTACAATTGTAGAGTTTCTCATGAAGTATATGATGCTGGAAAAGTATTGAGGACTCCTCAATAGGACCCTGTGTAGATTTTTCATCTTCCTTTCTAATTCTCTGATGTCGACAATGACATGACTGAAAGTTTAAATCTATCCCCACATTGCCAATGTTTTGAATAGTCATTTGCATGATGGACTAGGGGACTTCCCATATGTTCCCACATTCTTCTCAGAGATTGTGTCTTGTTAAAAATGTCACATGGATCTTTGCTAACAGAAACATATTTATCTCTACCTGCAACAGACGTAAAATGGAGTTTCACCCAACATGGTTTACACGCAGCATCACTTTGTACAGGAGGAACTGTGTTATGGATAATTGTCCCTTATTGGGAATCTTCATTGCAACAACCCTTGTGCCCTTCACATGCCTCTTGACATGTCTGGTCTATCAATAATTGTAAATTCTCACAGGTGCCGATTCCATCTCCTCCCGGTCCCACATTTAGCAACAAATCTTCTGTGCCTGACTGTGGCATGGAGACCTGGTTGTCTTGAGAAGACAGGTCAGGAAGACAACGAGGAATAACTACCCCACGCACAGCACTCAAGACAAAATACTTAAATATTTAAGACATAAAATAAACACCATATAAAGACCCCCGACATGATGTTTGGATAGGTAAATCAGCACGAGACAGCAACACACAGGCTTATGCGGAGGTAACATCCTTAGGGAAAGGTAAGTACACAGCAAATACAGATATAACCCGATAGTCAAAATATTGTTTCTGCTTCAGAATTTGGAAATATGGCACCAAAAAAAAAATCATAGATTCATGTTAGAGAATACAAATATCATGAGATATAATTTGTGATGTCAGTAGGGGTAGAAATGTTAAAGAGTGGAGTTTTGGTATGCAGCTGAAGTTACATGGTTTTCACTTTAGAAAAGACTGTCATAACTTTTCAACATGCTATGGAATCCCCATGAGAAAAAAGATATTGTAAAATACAATGAAAAGAAATGAAAACAGAGACTGATGTGATGTGTACATAGGTTGGATGACAATGCTTTACAATGTTTGTAAATAATATTACAAACCAATATACCTCCATTACCATCAAAATGTGTGAAAGTGGAGGGAAATCACCAACAAGAGCGAGGAATTAAAGCATATAAAAAAGGTCAAAAAATATACAGTGATGCAGTAGGTTGGAGATGGGGTATAAAATGGCTGAGAATACTGCATCCGCAGTGGCGCAGCGGTTGAGCGCTGGGTCGCAAAGCTGCCTGCAGCCTCTGCAGCGCCAGTTACATCTCAGGCCACCAGCGAGGGTCCCACATGGCGCTCAGACCTCTCCTGCCACTCGCTGCTCCCCTCAGCAGTGTACTTTGTCAGTCTGCTTTTCTGTTCTCTGCTCCGGTTCTGGTGAATTCTCTCACCCTCCCGTGCTTCTGACTGCACCCCGTGCTTGAATAAATAATAAATAAATCTTAAAAAAATTTAAAAAATAAAATGACTGAAAATAGAGGAATCACTCTTTAATAAGGTTAACGCCTCCCTTTCAGTAATGCTTTGGTGTAAATAAAGTCCACAATACAATGACAAATGTGTCTGAATGAATTAAAAATAACACCAATTCAATCTTACCTATATGACCTTCAACATAGCCTTCAGCGCACCATGTGGAATGTAAGGATGGAACTACATTCTGTGAAGACTAATCATGAAAATGGAGCCGTGTAGGGGCGTCCCCGGTGGTGCAGCAGTTGAGCGCTGGGTTGCGAAGCTGCCCGCGGCCTCTGCGGCACCTGTTCGATCCCCAGTTGCTCCCCGGTTCAATCCCCGGCTGCTCCC